ACTGCTTGGTTTTAAACAGCTGATGCTGGAGAAACAGCTTCCAGCCCTGCTCCTCTCCCCTGAGCCTTCCCAGCCCTCCCAGGGGGATAAAACACGAGGTTTGGAGCAAAGCCCTTCCACTGTGCCGTGCTGGCAGGGGGCAGAGAGCAGACACAGAAAAATGGGAAGGCAAGCGCCATGATCCATCTTCCCTCTGCCCTTTCCACCTTCCCAGCCTGGTTTTGGGCTCCCCAGGACCTATCTCAATGATCTCACCCAACATCAGGGACCAGCCTCCCTCAACCTCCTCTACAGCAGCTGGAGCAGGGCCCTGCCCTTTCCAGATGGGATCGAGCTGCCTGTAGACATCTCCTTGGGGATGAGAGGACTCGCACGTAGAACCACCTGCCCAGAGACCAGCAAACACCTTCGTTTGCTCAGACACAAGTCACCCAAGCTGTTCCCCACAGCATCCCCAGGGATTGGAGGGACCCCACCATGGCCACATCATCTCCAGGTCCTCCCCAGGGATGACTGGGGAGTTTAGTTAGTCCATCCAACTGATCCTCCAGTAAACTCGGCCAATATGGGGCTGTATCTGCTGTTGTCTCCTTCTACAACTCAGAAATGTATTATCCCCGAAGCCAAAGCTGGTAAGCTGCAAGATAAAAATGCTATTTCTGCCCAGGATTTCTGCAGCTGCATCTGAGCATTCGCAGCCACTTTCTAGTTATTGAGGCTCAACTACGAAGAACTGTGTTCCTTCAGCAGAGATTTGCCTTTAATTAGCCAAGGATAAAAGGACAGTGGAAGACAACCCCGTGCCTAAGCGGAAAAGGCTACGCTCTCAAACGATGCGCCGTTGGCATTTTTTTGCAGGGCAGGGAGCAGGTGCCTGGCAGAATAGATTTGTTCTGCTTCTCTTGCCGGCCCCCCACCTTTTCCTCGCACTGGATAAAAAACCATATCTTTGGGGCCTGATCCTGCCCGGTGCCTGCAGAGCGGAGAGGCGGTCGCGGGAGGGAGGTTGCGGTGGAGGTGGGGGCAGCTGGTGGATTGTGCCCGGCTGGTCTCTTTGCAGATGTGAAGAGTGGGATGACCTCGGCATCTCCAGCTCCCCAGACGCCGGCGCTGTTCTTACCAGGAGCTGATTTTGACTGCATTAAGGCAGCAGCAAAAACAAACTCCCCAGGTTCTTGCCAGCCCTGGGATTTCTCTCCTAACCCTGAGGCTGCAGCGCCTGATCTCCTTGGGTCCCTACAAATGCAGCAAGTCACCCTTCAAACCAATAACCTCCCAAAGACTCATTAGTAGAGCATCACCCAATTCCAGTTTGGACCAACGCCCCCATCTCCTGTGAGCACCCAGGGTGGCCAGCAAGCTTTGCGCCAACGACAGCAAGCCACAGAGAGTAGGAGGGGGGAAAACTTTCTGCTGAGCCTTCGGGAAATCTCCCAGACACCCTGGACCCAGATCCTCCCACTATTTTTAAGGATAAAAAGCTGAGGCAGTCTCACCATGGATCTTTCTGCATTTCTCCAGCACAGAGAGGCACAGGGCAACACGATGTCCCAGCAGGACTTTAGCAGCATGGGCTGAGAAAGGCAGCTGGGTTCTTGCCTTCCCCGTGAAATCAGGATAACTTTGGAGCAGGGGGCCTAAATGTTAGGGTATCTCTAAATATTGGATAGACCTGGCTTTAATCCTTGGATCACACCTCATTATTTTGCCAGCCCTAATCCAGGGCCTCGCCAGACTCAAATCTGCATCTGTAAAAGCATAGATTTGTTTCTTTAATACACCCAGATATTGCTCTCATTTGCCTAAAGCTCCAGCCCCATACACTGTGCCGGGGTGTGGATGAGAGCACTGCTCCCAGGAATAGGTTTTTCAGCACCCAGCACAAATGCAAAGGAGGGAAAAGAAGGAGTAACAGAAAGTGGGAAGGAGAAAGAGGGACCTGGCCTGATTTCCAGAGCTGCAGGATAAATGTGCATCTCTGCAAGAGCTGTGCAAGTGCCGAACCTTTGCCTAGAGGTTACCTAAAGATAGGCTGTGGGGGCCCCACTTCACACACCCACCCTTGCAAATTCTTTGCACCTAGATGCTTGGTTAAGGCTACTGCAAAACAACGGTGCTGCAGCAGCGACGGTTTGACTCTGCATCAGCTCCTGCCCGAGTCCCACTGCCCCAGGCATCCGCCGAGCGTCACCGGGAGGGCGGCAGCATCCTGAGCGCGGGATCTTTTTCCCTTCCCTGCTGTCAGCATCTTACCTAATGGCCTCTTCGCAGCTCCGCTCCGGAAGGTGCTTTCAGGATCCAAGTGGCCACTTTGCCAAATGGAAGCGGACTCGCTAACAGGCAACCAGGAGGGCTAAAAACTCCCGCTCGTCCCTGGGGCACGCGCGATGGGCTGTAATGGGGCTTGAGCATCCTGAGCTTTCCAGGACAAGCAACAGAGGTAGTGCTTTCTTGGCACTTGAATCTTTTCCTTCCTCGATGTAAATGAGCAGGATTTTGAAGGCTTGAGCCCCTCGGAAGGGAGAGGAGATTTTGCAAAGGTGTGCGGCGTGGTCCTCCCTGTGCCGAAAAGCATCACTAGTAATGTTAAGTCAGGAGCCCGTAACATTTGACTGCAGAGATAAACAAGGTATGGAAAATGGGGTTTTATATAAAGAGGACTGAGGAAAAATTCCAGCAGAGCTAAGGGATTATATCACAAGGGTGATAGGTACTTTGAACCTGGGGCTAGAAGAAAGCCTGGGATGAAGCATGCAGCTTACCTGCAAAATGAATACTCACATGCACATGGATGAGAGCAAGATAGGAGTATAAGGAACAAATACTAAAGGACACACTACACTTTTTAACAGCCTACTCAGCCTTGTGATCCATCTGTTTCTTATGGCTGGCACTACCCTGTCACGGTGGACTGATGCTCCGTATTCTCGGCAAGACCCACGACCCAGAAGCTGAAGGTACATTCTGCTTCTGGAGGTCTCTTTAATTTCTGAGCTCCAGAGTGGATCCGCGAGGGGTTTCGTGGGGTTTCGCCTGGCAGAGAGGCAGTGCTCAGCAAAGAAAGTGGAGGAAAGTAGGTCATTTAGCACAGACGCAACCAGCCAGGCTGTGCTCAGCGGGGATCAGCCACTCGCCGCAGTCAGGATCACAGGCTGGGAGCCACCGATCACGGGGCCGAAAGGGCTGCCCAAGCACGGGGAGGTCTCCGTGTTGGACGGTGTAATTCTTCCATCCCTCTGCTCGTCTCTTTGAATGGTGTAAAAGCACAAGCAGCTCGGCTGGCAGGAGGATGCAACACCCCTGACAGCATCTCCCGCATCCTCCAAGCATGGCCTGGATGGTGCAGCACGCTGATAAACTGGCAATTTAAAATAATTACTGCAACTGCCTCACAGTCTCCTCCCGCCATCTCTTTGGAGCGCTTGTGCAGAGCAGTCTCTATTCGGCAAACTCCTTGTACCACTTTGTGTTTAGATATTTATGAACCCACAAGCCAACGGGATGCAGATAAGGGAAGGGTTTGTCATCTGCCAAAGCTGGCTGGAGCTTCTCCTGTGCTTGGAAACGGGGCTGAGGAACACAAACTGGCCCAATTTGGGGATTGCTTCCACTCAGCGTTATAGCAAATACTGTGGCATTTCACTCAGGATGCATTGCTCATAAATACTTATGTTACTTTTTGTTCACTCACATGGTTTTCCATACTTAAACGTTCAGAATTGGCTGTGCTTAAATACCTCCTCTCCTCATAACAACATCCATCCACAGGTTTAGCCACCCATTTATGCATTTTCGCTGTCCCAATATTGAGCCAAGATTTGCAATTTGCTGGGTCCTTGCAGACAGCTTAGCAAGCTGTGTTACAGATGGGGAAACTGAGGCATGGAATGGGACATGACATCTCCTGGGTCACGCAGTGCCCTTACTGGCACCAGTGACACTCGAACCTAAGGATTCTGACTTTGAGCCCTCACCAGGGACTCCTCCATGACCAATACGAGAGGATTTGGGGTGGCTGAGATGGAGGTTTAGCACTGCTGTGCTCTCCCTTGGGTTACAAGGTGGTGCCACTTCCCAGAGCCATGCCATAGGAGAGGGATCTCTTCTCCTTACGATCTACTCTCCACCCTGGGAGCACAGAATAGGTGGGATACCTCGGCTCTACCCTGACAGAAGGGAAGCCCAGAGCAGCGGCACTGTCTGCGAAAGGCACCGAGCAAGTGGTCAAACCTCAAAACACAAGTACCAAGTCCCCCCAGCGCCTTCCCTGCCCTTCGCTGCCCCAAGACACTCGTAGGAGAAGGCAGGACAAAACAGCAGGAGAAAACATTGCTACAGTTGATCCCTAGGGGTGGAGCAAACAAACTGTTCCCCTGCAAGAAGAGTTGAAGCCATTCTGGGGAGTCCATCCCCATTCCCTGCTGGAGATCCTACTAGGAGAAATCTCTGGGGACACTGAGGTTTGCAACCGCTCAGAGAATGTGCTACTAGCACCATCTCTCTTCCAAGAGGGATTGCCAGCTCAAAAAAAAATATCCATTGGGTGCCCACAAGGTTTTCCAAGAGCAGGTTTATCCCCCAGCACCACCCATTCCCCGTTACCTGCATGGACGTGGCTGATACCCAATTCAGTGGGGCGGAGAATGACAGGGAAGGTGGGCTCGACCCTGGCTCCAGCCCCTTCCCTCCACCTGCATCACTGCTGGAGCTTTTTTGGAGAAAATCCCACGGGGGATCCTGTACACAGCATGCAGTGTGTCTGTCCTTGCTGGTGCCCATCACTGAGACCCACCAGCTCCTCCCAGGGGGTTTCCCCCTCAAACAGCCCCTGCAGACCAGCTGATGGTGGAGTACAAACTGATTTTTCCATGGTTCAGGCTGTTTCTTTCTTTTCTCACAGAAGTTTTAGACATACAGAAAAAAAAAATACCCAGACTACCAAAAATATAGTTGCTTGTCTTTTTCTTCCCCACCCTCCACAGAACTGATATCAAAATAACTCTTCAATAATATACATATTTATTTTCTCTTAATTAGTGCAGATATTTACAAAAATTGTGATACTCTGTGAAGAATAAATTATATACACTCATGATAAACCAGACAGCAAATGCTCATTTGGATCATGTATGTACACAGATCTGTATACCTATATACAACGGTCAGCCTTATTGACTCGGGTGCCTCTCAGCCCGTAGATCCACCCGACCCCCAGGACACCCCCACATCGTCAATAAGAGCAGTAACGTCTATACACACTGTGCAATTCGGATACAGCTGGTGTCTAAATTTTTTGTCTAGCAAATGCATGGTTAAATGACTTGAAATTCCCACGAGTCCTCCTTTAACAGTTTATAGGCCTCTCTCCATTCCTGGTCCCATTTCTCCCGTAACCATGGAAACAAAAGGTTCAGCTCCAGCATCCTTAGGATGAGTCCTTCTTGGATTTCCTCTTCCTATTGATTCACTCAAATTAGGCACTGCATGCAGGGTTGATCCAATACCCATTTTTTCCCCTTGTGCTTCGGTGTATGACATTGGAGGACAAGAGCACAGTCTCAAGCAATGAGGGAGCAAGTGCAAACAGATAATTACAGTCTTCTAGGCAGCAAAAGAATTTTTAAAAAATCAAAATATCAAAAATCCTAACCCCAAAAGACCAACCCCAAACTCAGGGCAGCCAGGCAGGGCTGGGGAGGGGACGTGGCCCCCATGAGGGTCTGTGTGCGTGGACCTTGTGTGGTTACATGATGTCCAGCAGCTCCTACAAGCCAAACTGTTCCTCCCCAAGGGAAAACATGGATAAAGAATTTACGTCTCATCATATACAATTGGGCTGGGAGATCTTGTCTCCAGGTGTAAATCAGTGCTGTTCTCTCAGGGCTGATTTACACCACCGGAGGCTGGTCCCTCTCCCCTGTGATGGGATGTGGAAGGATCGGAGCACCCATTTCCGAGAAGGGGGGATGAAATTTGGGCAGTCAAACGCAGTAACTTCATGGGGAGACTGAAGTTCACACGGGGGCTGGGGAAGGGCACTGCTTTGGCCGGGGGCAGGACAGCAGCTGGTGCATGGGGGGGGGACCTTGTCCTTCCTTGGGGCTCCTGGTGGGGGGCAGCAGTTGGTCCCCAACAAGAGGGACCAAGGGATGTGCTGGATGCAGAGGAGGTTGAATGCTGCCAAGGATGCAAGGAGGGAGCCACAGGCTTTTTTTGTGTGCAAAATTAAATGGTTTGGTGCTGACTCCTTTCCTCACCCCTCAGCCCCTTCCACCCTAGCAGCACGCTGACCAACTCCCACAATCAAAAGAAATCCCTGGGACCCCCCCCATGGATGTAGACCTTGAGTTAAACCCACCCCCAGCCCCAAAAGCGGGAGATGCTTCTCGCCACCACACTAGGACCAAAATCCAAATGGTTCAAGGGACTTGAAATCCAGCCACTACAAAAAAAGAACCCCCAAGCCCCCATCCAGTGCAGCACTGTGCTTGCATTGCAAACAAATCCCTTTGACTTCTGCTTGGCTTTCCCTGCACAGTCACAGAAACGGTCATGACAGGCCCAAGTCAGGGATTTGGGATCGAGAGCGGAGATGCTGCAAAGCTGCTGGTTTGCAGAGGGATGTGTGGAGTTGAATGCCACCAGCCCCTCGGGATGCTCCCACTTCCAAGGCCAGATCCCGATTTCCTTCGCTTGGGCCCGTCCCCAAGTGTATTGCAAGCTCTGGAAAAGCTACAAGACTTTGGCAGCAATTTCAAGGGCTGACCCAGGAATTATCTGATAACAAAGCAAGGCCCTTCCTGAAATACCTCCTCCTCCTCTGTCTTTTTCTCTCCTTCTGTGTATTTATGCACAAATATGCCCATATTTATACACCCACGTGCTACACTCTCATAACGCCAATCTAGACATCCTTTTGTTCGTATAGCTCAGTATTCAAATCTGTAGGACTTTGACACAAAACATTGCTGCAGAGATTAGTTTTCCCAATAAAACACATTGCCCCATGCAGACAATTTTTTCCTCTCAGCCTAATCACTTGGTGATGTCCAGTCAGTATACGAGCCTCACCCCACTGCCCTTAGCAGAAATTTTGGAAAATATTAAAGGCCTGATGGGTTGCTTGGAGGCTTGGGCATGTGGTTGGCTGTTAGAAGACAACTGCACTGTAATCACCACTTTCCAGCTCTCCAAAACCATGGCACAAAGGATAAGACTAAAATACAAGTTCTGTCCCCTCTGGGTGCCAACCCAGGAGCACCTTCGCAGAGCAGAGAGCTTCATCCCACCCCTGGAGAGGCAAACATCTCCAAGGGAGGAGGAGAGGAACCAGACCACCTACGTTAGGTGGCCCAATGCCTTCCCAGTCCCTAATTTAACATCCTCAGTCTGAGCCACTTTGCAGCTCATTTTTGCACCCTTTCAGAATCAAGGGGAGTTTTGGATGCTCAGCATCTCTGCAGAAACAGGCCCAGAATCTCTCAAATCAAATTCCTCAAGAAAAAAAAAAAAAAAAAAAATCACAGTCTCCTCCTGAAAAACTGGTTCAAGATCACATCAGTGAGTCAGAAGCAAAGCTAGAAATAGCACTAGAGCTCCGACCTGCAGGCACAAATCCCATTAAAAGCTGTAAGGGAACCATTTCTCTGTGTAGGGGAAAAACCTGGACCCTTCTGCTTCATGCAGCCTGACAGATCGCTTCCAGCCACAAACCCACGGATATTTTTTGCCCTGAACCCAACATCCAAGCACTTAGCTGGATGTTTTCCCTCTTTCCCACACATGGTGCCAAGGGCAGCACAGAGCTGCTCTCCCACCAAGGCTCCTTTTCACCAGGAACATCTGCCCGGGTCAGTGCAAGAGGTGCAGGATCTGTCCTGAGGAAGGGACCGGCCAAGCTGGCCCCTGCCATGGGGACAGAAGCCAGCTCCCACTGGTGACAACAGGAAGAACGTGGCCTCTTGCTCTTTGGCCCTGTTCATCCCTGCGATGTGGCTCTGGGGTTTCCCAAGGCAGCCAGGACCGCCCAGCTTGGTGAGCAGGTTTGGATGTGCCTGATCCTGCTCACGGACCCGCTCTCCGCTCCTGCCTGGCCTCTGAAAGCCCGCAGGGACACCGTGCCCAAAACAATTCCTCTCCTCCAAAAAACCCGTGATCTTCCTCCTTACTGAACCACAACAGTGTTCACGCTCCCAAGATGTACCCAGTACTTTGGCAAATGCTCCCCCCAAATCATCTGAAGCCCACGGGCGTTAAACAACCAGACACTTGGCAATGTCTCGTTGAGTGCCAGCATCCTCCCCAAAACCCCCGCAGCAGCCTGTCCCCAGCACCTTCCCCCACACCAGGGATGGGGTGGCCTGCTGCTGGGGCACCCTGGGGTGGATGGGCAGAATCCCAGTGCATCAGGCAGCCTCCCCACGCAAGCTCACCTCCCCACGGACCCACCGCGAGCCGGATCGATGGAAGCTGGCTGACTGCCCTGGGAATCGTGCCCAAGCCGGTGGCTCAAGCCAGCCCCGTCCCATTCAACGAGATGAACTTCAGAAGTAGAGATTTATTGCTTTCGGTTGCGTTGCTTTTTGTGTGTGTGTGTTTAAGATGTTAACGGGCTGCAGGGGCTCCCGTTTCAGAGCTGCAGCAGCAGAGAGGGAGGAGAGGGCTCCTAATATAATGAGGTGTAATTAAAGACAGGCTGGGGTCCCATGCTGCATGGTGCTGAGCACCTTTGAGACCCAACGCATTGATGCTGCTGGTCCTCTGCACCAAGCAGAAGCCAGGGCTCCTGTGTGCTAACCATGGACACTTGGTATTAATGATAGCCAGGCCTGAATCAGTCAATCAATAAAATAAAAATGAGGAGTGATTCCACCTGGCTGAGGGGAGTCACATCAGCACGAGAGATGGATCTGGCCCTAAAGCAGCATTTTGAACCATTGCTGTAGAATACGCTAGCACCGTTTATTTTATTGTTATTAGTATGGTTTTCCTCTCTGATCTCGGGAAGGGTCTGGCTGATCCCCCTCGTACACTCTGCAATGGGGTTCCCTCCTTGTGCACACACTTCAGCACAGCAGTGCAGCACTGACTGTGCCCCCATCAGCCCAAATTCATCCCAACTCAACAGGCTGTTAAACCCTTTCCCGTACCCCGGGGAGGCTTTGCTTGACTACAGCCTTGGAAGAGGTTTGTATCCCCTGACCTGGCAGAGGAACAGGGCGCCTATCCCCGAGGATTGCCAGAAACTGGGGGAAAACACAAGGGAATTCAGATGATGGGGAAAGCAGATGAGATCTTCCTGGACCGACAGCTCCCACCTATCCCCAAATAACACCGGGGATGATGAAGAAGAAGAGACAGCCTCAGGGTCTCACCCCTCCTAAAAACCCTGGACGAAGGCAAAGCAAAGGCTCAGAGGCACCCGCTCGGATCCAGCCCACCCTCAGCATGTGCCCTCTCCACCATAAAGGAATAAACCAACAGCCCTGAGGCTCTCCATGGTTGAAAAGGAGTTTTCCAGCCCAAAACACACCATGCCCTGGTGATCCCACGGGCACTGTGGGGCAGGTCGCCCTGCTCCAGCCCATGCCCCCCCACCACAGCACCCCTGAGCTGGGAAGCCCCCGATGCCCCAAGTGCTCACATTTGCTGAGGATTCGGCCCTGTAGTCGCTCTCTAAATATCTATATACACACACACACGATAATTATATAGGAAACGGCTGAAAATTGCTGAACAAACAAGTCAGGAGAGCCAGTACCTGCTATTCCACCTGCTCCTCATGCCCTCTCTGATCTGCCGTGGTTTCTGCTCATGACACCAAGATTAACGACTAATTACTCGCCCCATAATGAGTGCAGGTGTTTAACTTTCAGCTCACCTTCCCTCGCTTGCGTTAGTCGGCTCTTGTGTCTGATGCTTGGACACTCAGGCTTTGCTTTGTTATCTATCAAACTGTTGTCAGCACATGCCTTCCCCATCCGGTTTTTAAATATAATAGAGATTTTTAAACTCCCATGAATCTCCTTCGAGCCACCGGAGAATCTATAAACACTATAAACATGAATACTGTATAGTCTACTAAGAAAATATATATTTGTGTGTGTATTAAATATTCAGATTCATGCAACAAATATCCATGCAGCTGTACTGTATTACTGGTTAAATTTCACTGCAGTATAAATATATTATAGGCCACAGCATAGTTGCTCCAGTTTTATATATATAGATATCAAAAAAGATGCTTTTTCCAACTCATTTTCAATGTGTCAGTGGAGGTGTCTTTGGTGATCCTGGAACTATTGGTAATGGAAGTGTCATCTAAATAAATAAATAAAATCCAAGCGCTTGATTTATTTACTTGTCCCTCCCGATGCCTAGCATAGAAAATTTAAGACTTAATAAATAATGTGCCGTCATACTAATTATCCCTCCCCTGGGCCTCACACTGGCATACTGCAGTGGCTGAAACTATTGCAGCATGCAGCATTTTCAGTTATGAAACATGAGCTGGGGTGATGCGTTCTCACTTGGCATTCCTGGGGCGGAAACCCGAGCCTTCAAGCAATTCGGACACACGACTGCATCTTCCCTTCCTTAAGCTCTGCCTGACCTTTCCCAGCCGTTCCTCACGCCTGGAAGCTGCTATCGCCCAGCTCCGTGGGACAGGGACCAGCGTACGTGGTACCCCGGGGTGGCCCGGAGCTGCCCCCTGCATCCCCATCCCATTGCTTGAAATGCCCAACCGCTCCGCATATTTGGAAACCCACAAAGCCTGGGATGGGAGAAGGGAATCAAAATGGTTTGTTGTTTGGAGGTTTTTTTGCACGAACGCTTATTCGGTGTGGAAATCAAAGGTTAAAAGTCACTTACACAGCTATTGCTTCCCATGCAGAACCAAATATACACCGTAGAAAATACTGTATTAACTACAATGCAGAGCAGCACTCAATATCTGCAGTTGTTCCACTTCAGCTTTAAATACGTTACTAGATTTTAGCGACTAGACATCGGTTAGCATTTTGGTGATATTCACATAGTTTGTGTTAGCTAGGGTGCAATTGGCTGTCTTCAAGTTCTCCTCCCTAAAATCCTCATTGCTATTGTTTACGCCTTCCTGAATCTCCATATAATCAGACTTACTAATAGTAGAGGCACTTCTGCTTTTCTTTAGGTCAGGGGAAGAGGGGATCTTTGGGCAGCTGGTTACTTGCAAATATTGAGCCTGCTCCTCTCCCTCTGTCTCCCGGTGGTAGAAGTAATTGAAGTTAGACACTATGACGGGCACTGGTAAGGCAATCGTTAATACGCCAGCGATGGCACACAAGGAACCCACTATTTTCCCCCCGATGGTCGTGGGGACCATGTCTCCATAGCCAACAGTCGTCATGGAAACCACGGCCCACCAGAAGGCATCGGGGATGCTCGGGAACTGGGACTCGCTCTCGTCGGCCTCGGCAAAGTAGACGGCGCTGGAGAAGAGGATGACGCCGATGAAGAGGAAAAATATCAAGAGGCCCAGCTCCCGCATGCTGGCCTTGAGAGTCTGCCCCAGGATCTGCAGCCCCTTGGAGTGTCTGGAGAGTTTGAAGATCCTGAAGACCCGCACCAAACGGATGACTCGAAGGATGGCCAAGGACATGGCTTGCTGGCCTTGCTGACCATCCTCCGGCTTCTCAGCCAGCTCTGTCCCTAAGGTGATGAAATAGGGAATGATGGCTACAATGTCTATAATGTTCATGATGTTGGTAAAAAATCCAGCCTTGCTGGGGCAGGCGAAAAACCTCACCAAGAACTCGAAGGAGAACCAGATGATGCAAAGTGTCTCCACAATGAAGAAGGGGTCTGTGAAAGAGGTGGACTGCTGGTACCCCATGCTGCTGTTGGAGTAGGGGGGATGGCTCAGCCCACTGCCGTGCATGTCTTCGTTCTCATCCCGAAAAATGGGCAACGTTTCCAGGCAAAAGCTGACGATGGAGATTAAAATCACCATAACGGAGACAATAGCTATAATCCTGGCAGGGCCTGAGCTCTCAGGGTACTCAAAGAGCAACCATACTTGTCTCTGAAATTCGTTCTCAGGCAACGGTCTTTCCTCTTCTTTGATGTAGCCTTCATCCTCCCGAAACATCTCCATCGCTTCTTCCCCCAGTTCATAGAAACGAATCTCTTCTGAGAAGATATCTAAGGGCACATTAACCGGCCTCCGCAACCTCCCACCAGACTGGTAATAGTACAAAATCGCATCGAAGCTGGGTCTGTTCCGGTCAAAGAAATACTCATTCCGGAGCGGGTCAAAATACCTCATTCTCTTTTTAGGATCCCCTAGTAAGGTCTCTGGAAATTGGGCTAGTGTCTTGAGCTGTGTCTCAAAGCGCAGACCCGAAATATTAATGACCACCCTCTCGCAGCATTCATGGTCGGTCTCAGGGTTATACGTGTCCTGCGGGTGACCGGGAAGAGCTGCAGCTTCGTCTGCAGGATCTCCGGTAGCAACTGTCATATTGGGGTTTAAAAGAAATCCTTATGCTAAACTCTTCCCAGTGCCTGGTGGTGGGATCGGATTCAGGGCAGGGCTACTATCCTGCAGAAGGACAGGTACGTAGATTTGGAAGTGTCTCATGAAAAGGTGAAGGGATGATATATAAAAAAAAAAAAAAAAAAAAAAAAAAGAGAAAATAAAATAAAAATAAAAAAAAAAAAAAAAAGGAAAGAAAATCGCCCCTGCTGAGAAAGAGAGAGATGAAATAAAGTTGGGGGGAGGAGAGCAGCTCCCTTCACTAGCATGTCTATCCCCTTCCTTGCAGGGGTTAATTTGCCTTCTTTGGGACAGAGTTCAAAAACTCCCATCTAAACCCATTAGGTGGAAGAAAGAAAACACCTGAGGAACTGTCACCTATACAAAACCAGCGTGGAAAAACTGGCATTGGCGAACCAGAACTTTTTTTGGGGTACAAATAAAGATTACAATTGAAAATAAAGGAAAAAAAAAAAAAAAAAAAAAAAAGAAGGGGAAGGGAAGAGAAGAGAAAGGAAGGAAGGAAAATAACCCCATCCAGCCCTAAAGAGGTGAGAGGACCCCGCGGGGTGCCAGGGAGCGGCAGCCCAGGCTCAGCTCATTTCCAGGCATGCAGCTAAGGGTTAACATTTAACCGTGCAATCTCAGGCAATCTACCCTCCTAAGGGGCTCCGGTTTTAAGTGAGACACCTTCCCAATCCTCTTGCCCTGGCCGTAAAGCTGCGAGGCGACATGCTGCCCTCCCTGCCGGCAGCCGCCCGGGCAAGCTTTGCGGCTGCCCGAATTCGGAGCCGCCGATGCAAGCTGCCCCGCGGACCACTGCAGTCCCCCTCCTCGACCGCTGGTGTCCCGGCTCCTGTCATCCTCTGCAAACCACCATGGCACACAGAAAACAAATCACATTACCTGGAGAAGCCAAATCTTAGTGTCTCTTAGTAACACCGATTATCTGACCCTGGGGAAATCCTAGAGAGGAATACAGGCTTCCAAGATCCCCATAATTTCCTCTCTCTTCAAAGTTAAAAATAATGGTGAGTCATCGTAGAAAAACAAGAAGGGACTTAAAAGGGGTTAGATTCCCAGATGGTGGAAGTCAGGTCTTGTAATGGTTTGGACTGGAGAGAGAGAGAAAGAGAGACAGAGAGACAGAGAGACAGAGTCTTCTTGGTAGCTGTTGCAGATCTGCACTTCAGGGCAGATGAGCGTCTGTCTGATGCCTTCGGTACGCCGGTGAAAAGATGCTAAGCTCAGCAACCCCCGATGTCCCCAGTGTCCTCGGGAGGTGTGGCATCGCCTGCAAAAAACACCAAGAAGGTAGCAAGCTGCTGGGGGCTTGAAAGGAGCATCTGCAAAGCCCCGGCTCCTCCAGGCACCCCCTTTTCCCTCCCCGCGAGCTGTTTGCCCGCTGCCTGGCCAACCTGCACTGCAACACGAGAGGAGGGCGAGAGCGCGCTAGCGGCAAGGCGGAAAAAACCAGAGCCCCATCTCCCTCCGCTCTCACTCAACGCCACGGCGTGCAGCGGGGCCGGGCTGCCCGTGGGAGCCGGTGCCAGGAGAAGGAAAAAGGGAGGGGGGGGGGACGACGCAGCCCCCCCCCCGGCCGCTGAGGCTCTGCAAAGCTGCGCTGGGTTCCCACCACCGCCGAGCACCGGGGAGTCAGTGGTACCCACTGGGCGCAGCACCCACGCCGTCGCGTCGCATTCCCGAGTGATACAGGAGGCTCCGGCTTCATCCGCGAGACTGAATCCCCCGCCGGTCTCTGTCTGCACCCCCCCACACACCCCCAAAGGCCACCTACCCCCCCCCAGATGGCTCCAAGGAGCCCTGAGCGTCGTGGGCCTGACCGTGGGACCCACGCGGCCGCAACCGCCCTCCCCATCCTCCCAGAAGCCAACCCCCCCGGCCGACCCACCCCCCGTGGGAATTTGACTCCAGTGGGCAAAATTTCTCACGGGGATGTTGAGGCTCTGGTCCCTGGTCGGTGACGGGTCTTCAGCATCCCTGCTCCTAACGAGCTCTCATTTAGATCATCCTTCAGTGCCTCACACCACGGAGATGCTCAACCCAGAGAGGTCCAACCAACCTCTCATTTTTTCTTTATTATTTTTTTCCCTCTCAAAGAAAAACAAACAAACAAACAAACAAACAAACAAACAAAAACCCTCTAACCTCCCTTCTTCAGCTCCAACTCGACTTGCCTACTTTGAGCCAGGATTACAGAACCGGGTAGGGGAGGCAGGTGGAAAATAATCCCGCGGTCCCAATCTCCTCGGCAAAGATTTCAGCCGTCTCCAGGCCATTTATGCCTGTTGGTTCCTCTCCTCATCACCCGAGGTGCAGATATTGCCGCAGATCCCTCTTTTCTTGGAAATTTCCCTTTTCCATGCAACCCTCCTCTCCCTTCTCCTTATGCGCTAGAAAAAATAGTACAACCCTGACAAGGCTTGCAGCATTCAACTGCTTCGCTTAACCCTTTTCTGCCAGGCCCAGAGGAGAGGAGGTTGCATTTGCCCCAGTTTTTCTCCTTTCCCTGCATTTTCTCCCCCCTCCACTCACTCCCCAGCAGCTGGCTCAGGAGTTCAGCTGGATTTGACCTTCCCTGGCTCCTCTGAGCATCATCCTAAAACACCACCAACACCATCATTCTGCTGCTGCAAAGAATATCCAGCAGGCACAAAACCCCATTTCACCAAAAATCAACCAGTCTCGAATTATTTTTTTTCTAAATACAGTTTTCCTTCTGCCTGTAAACTGTCTCCTCCCCTTTCTCCCTTCCCAAAACACCCCAGGTTTGTTTAACAGCACAGAGGTTTACTTTCTTTTATTTTTAACATGTTTGTTTTTATCCAGTATGAGGTCCTGGCTCCTTCCTCCGGGTCCGAATCCAAGCGGTGATGCTTGGTGCTTATCGGACATGGTCACGGCATCATTAAGTTGACATCACACATCCCAGCACTCAGTTTCTCCTACTTTCTCCCCATCGCATGCTTTCCTGGCAAACACCCCCCACCCCCTCCAAGCATCTTTGGGGTTAACTCATGCAAATTTGGGAGGGGGGGGGGAGCATGGAGGAGGTGAAGGTTTGCCCAGAGACCCTCAATTTTCTCCCTGCCTGCACAGCCCACTGCAGGCAGGAGCCATGCCTGCGTTCCGGAGGGGTGAGATTTCGGGTTGCACGCCTCGAGGACAAGGTCGTGTTTGCGACTAAACCACGAATCCCTCCATTTGCACCGTTTGTGGCCAGACTGTAGTTAAGCAAGGCAGCGGCGGGGAGAGGGGGTTGGGGGGAAAGATGCTGGGGGGGGGGGTGGGGGGAGTGAGAAAAAGGCACCAACTTACAATTGGCTCTGCAGTCAGGCATGTGGCGAATGCACAAGCAGCTGCTCTGCTCTGCGCCGCTGCCGGCACCTCTCACCTACGGCCCCCCAAACTCATACCCCGGGAGTCAACCTCCAAAGGCAGCAGAGCTTCCCCATGAATATTCATAAGATTAATATGAGCGTCTTCTCCCCCCTCCCCTCCTCCCCCCCCACCTCCCTCCTCCCAAGCAAGAGACCTAGATTTCAACCACTGGGAAGTAATCATATCCCTGGATACGTGATGCTGCTTCACCGTGCGGCTCTGATCCAAACCATATTCTTGGTAATAGCCTGGATCCGCTCGGGGAGATCTGGGGGGGTGGTGGAGAACCACCAGCTCTGCGCAGCGTTGGGGAAGGAGATGGGGCAGGATTGGACTCATGGGGACCACGCCGCTCTGCTCTTGGCTGGGGCGAGGATGTAAAAAGCAATAATTTTATATCACTTTGCATTTACAGACCTCCCTCCACATGGAGGCATCTCCCACCCCCAAAGGAAGGACATGACCAAGCTCCTACAAACTTGGCATAGACAACCTATGGATTAATTCCTGGCTTGGGGCGCGAAGGGGATGCATCTGCTTGGACTGCTCTGCCATTATCCCTTGGCCCCAAGGAGAGCACCGGGGCAGCAAGAAGTCCTGCAAGGCCCCCAGCAAACACAAGCTCTGGAGGAGGTGATGGAAAATATTTCTATTCCCATACACAGCGGTCAAATTTGCAAGGAGCTGCTGGTGCTGCCAGTGATCACCCCAGGGTCAACAACCTGAGGTGGGATGGGAGGGTATGGACCACCCTGAATACCCAAGAAAATCAATGCCAAGTGTAATGCCCAGCCAGCCAGGGGGATGTGGGGACAGGGCAGAGCTAAACCAAATTATTTTAGCTCCCAGAGGTTCCAGCAGCAGTGGGTGGCACGGAGCCAGAGACTGGGTGCAGCTCCAGGGAGTGCAAGGGGGATGCTACCGCCCGCTGCTCCTCCCAACACTCCTCTCGATCTTGAAACAAAAAGCCCCAACCAGTTCCCAATATGGAAAATTAATTTCTAACCCTACAGCAAAAGTGGGAATCCTTTGCTCCCTGCCACAAATGGCCCCTGCACATACGGGTTTTCTTACATCCAATTGCACATGAGGCTACTCTAGATGAGGGGGTTTTAACGCCATCTGGATCATTTTAGCCTTTTCTGAAGGCAGATCTGCAAGAGCAGGGTAGGTTGAATCCGGAAAATGATTTGCCCAAGGCTAATCCTTATGCAATATGCAGAAACTGAGGCCAGGCAGAGAACAATTCAAGTGAAGCTGAATTTCTAACTTGTTATTCCTGCTGCCGCCTTGCGAAGGTTTTGCAAAACCAGGGGGATTTTTCATATAAACAGCACCAGCTCCTTACAAAGAGCCAAAATCCTGTCTCTAGCAAATCAGGGGAATTTCTCTGAATTGAGTGACACTCTCCTGATTTACTATCCTAATTGTGGAGCTATTATTATAGTCTGCGTGTCTGCACTCGCCTCCCTCAGCCACGCTGACAGCTCCAGACGTAACCCAGCCTTTCAGGGAACTAGACGAGCTGATGCACCGCACCCACTTGACTGTTTTACATGGATTTCACCAGCCGATGTCTCTGCATCAATATTATAATTAAAAAATAAGTCCCTTCTGGATTATTCCTCTTCTCCAAATGGACTTTATAGTCACCCAAACTAGAAACCTTATCCCATCTCTGTGTGTGGCCCTGGGAAAGTCAGTTGGTGTGAAGATGACCCAGGGACCTGGTGATCTGGTGTCCAGATCCCATCAGGAAGCAGATGAGCTCCCCTTGCTTTACTGCCTTTAATCCCGGGGAAGCCCCCAAAGGCTCTTCAGACCCTCTGTTTGAGGCAGCCAACCATACAAACAAAGAGCAAAAATGTGCTTTTTTTTCCCCCTTTTTTTCCCGCCTGTATCCTGCTGGCGTTGGGCTTGGGAGATACTCCATGATGTGGTGCTGTGGGGGGCACGGATGAAACCCACAGGGCAGGGTGTCCCCAGGACTGGCCTCATCCAGAACAGCAGAACTCAAGTCACGTTGCAACGCACGACCCACGCCGGGCCCCGCACCACATCACCCGGGACGGGCACCAGTGTTTCTCCGTGCTGCCATAAACCCAGCTGCTCCCTCTGGAGAGGACAGACCCTGTCCCACCCTCTTCACACACCCTGCACGGCCTCTGGCGATGGCACCTCCCCGTGGTGTCCCTCCTGGGGACTCCATGCCACCCCCTGCAAAGCCGGAGTGACTTTGAGGGTTGGAGCGGACACCAGCAGCCGCGCCAAGAGGAAGAGCTGAGCTGGACCAAGGCTTGACCATGGTGCCAAGAAGAGCGGGTTTGGACAGGGCAGGGCACTGAGCCCCCATCTCCATCCGAGCCACGGCTTGCCAGCTGAAAGGGTTGACATAACTGGGCCCTGTATTGTTTTAGGGGCTGTGAAAGTTGTGAGTTCCCAGGGCTGTGAGTCACCCATCGGGGAAAGCATCCGACCTCCCACCCGCTGCCTACGTCACAGGGTCAAGCTCCCAGCCCCCCCAGCACCCACACCTCAGTGCGTGGGCAAGAGGAAGGGATGCCAAGAGATGTCGGTGACCCCGATGTGGTGGCACAGCATCTAAAAATGAAGGCAGCCAGGGAACAATGTGACAATGACCAGCGGAGCAGACTTTGCCCTTCCGTTGCAGGTGTTGCTGATGAATCCCAAAATATCATGGTGAGATAGGTCAGGGTGGCTCCCCTCACCTGGGGAGATGGGGGAAGGTTTGGGGCTTTGCCCAGGGGGAAAGGAGGAGCAGAACAAAAAACAATGCTGGGCTCTGGCAGGAGCTGGGCAGGGCTCCTAGTCCCTGGGAGGATCTCCTGGTCCTCCCTGGGAAGGCACTTCACGGCCAAAGGGAGAACTGCAAATATGGCCTGTCTGCAAAATCAACATTAAATACATTATCTCTCTGTATTTCTCCAAGGTGGTTTTCATAATATCTGATTATTTTAAAAAGAGCTCCTATGGGTACCAGTTGGAATTCTTGTTTGGTCGAGACTGCTGAGTTGCAACATCTTTGCCTCCAAAGATGCTCCACCAGCCTGGCTAGCCAGTCTGGAGAGGAGCTGGGCACCATTCATCGAAAATAAAAGTCATTTAGCTCAACCAAAGCACAGTAAAGAACTTCAGTTCTTGAGGGTTTTGGAGCTTGTCGAGATGATTGTGAATATTTCATGCCAGGCTGCCGATAGCTCCAGGAGAGCTAATGGACCCGCTGCCGGGCTGGCGCAGGGCGAGCATCGGTCCTGGGAGGGTGCCTCCTGCTTCGGCTGCTCCAGCAACTCCAGTTAAAAGGCTCTCAAAGCCGCTTTATTTCACTTGCACAAACAAAAAGGACAGGACAAGCCAAATTAACGAATGGAAAAGCAATCAATAGCCTCCTTCCAGCCAGGCGCGAGTGCTTTCAGCTCTGGAAAGAAAGCCCGCCAGCTCGTGAGCCTGCGCATCGTCCGTGGGTAGAGTCCCCACATCCCTCCCCAGGGCTGGGGTTTTATTCAAGGCATCAGCTGAGCCCCCACGTCCCCTCAGGCTGGCTGTGGGCCACCGCCTCCTCGCCAAGGCGACCCAGCCATGTCCCTCTGTCCTTCCAGCCCTCCTGCTCCAAAGGGACCAAGAAAGCAGACTTGCTTCAGGGTTCCGAAAGTGCCTTTATCTGAGACACCAAACAAATGCCTCCTTTGCGGAGCCAGGGCTGCTCATGTGGCCCCAAGACAAAGGAGAGGTGATGAACACCTCATTTTCTCTCCAATGACTCATTTTCCCCAGGTCTGAGCCAGACCATGCCCATCTGCCCAAGGGAGCATCCCTCCTCCTCTGGCTTCGGTGGGGGATGATGCTCACCAAGAAGCGGGGAAATAGGGCCAGAAGTTGAAACCTTGTGTTTGTTGAGTTTACGGAGGAGAAGACTAAGGGGAGATGGGAGAAACCTGCAGTGGAGATGGCCAGCACCTGTAGGCAGATTGCCTTTGCCTTGGAGGAGCAGTTAAGTCACCTC